GAGTGGCTTAAAGCAACAGAAATGTATTGTCTCACAACTCTGGAGGCTAGAAGCTAGAAATCAAGGTGTCAGCAGTGCCATGCTACCCCTGAAACCTGTAGAGGAATCCTTCCTGGCCTCTTCTGAGCATCTGGTGGTTTGCTGGCAAGCTTTGGGATTCCTTGGCTTGCAGGCGCACAACTCCCATCTCTAAAACAGCATCTCAACTGATCTGCCTGCCTTCAATTCGATCCCGTCCAGTCCACTCTGCAATGTGCATTCTGGAGTGTTCTCTCTATTCGTGCCACGTTTTGCTTTTCATTCTTTGGGGGTTCCCTGTTGCCTTCAGGACAGAATCTAGACTCCTTATCATGCCCACATTTCCGACATCTAGATCCTGCTGAACTCTCTACTTCATCTATTTGCCTTCTCGCTCTGCTCCCCTCAACACATCATACACACACACACACACACACACACACACACACTCTTTAATTTCTTCTTTGCAAATGCGGTGTTTTTTGCTTGTAATACTCTTTTCTTTCTCTACCCTTTCTAGTTCCTTCTCATCTTTCAAAATGTTGCCTTAAAGTTATGGATTCCCTAACATTCTCTTTATTTACTTGTCTGTCTCAGAGTGCTGTATATTTCTGTATCACCAGTACCTGACACAGTGTCTGGCAAGTATAAATGGTTCAACAAATATTTACTAAATAAATGAAGAAAGTGAATGAATGAATGAAAGGGATGAGAAGGAGAAAAGGTAAAGATGAAGGAAGGGTTTTTTTTTCAGTTGGAGAGGAGAGCTCTCAGTGAGATAGTTACAAATATTTCATTTAAAGAAAGTGATGCTATTTCCCAAGAGTAGAAACATATTTAGAAATTCTCTGTGGATTTTAGAAAGCAAAATTAGCACAACTACTGGATCAGACACTAGATCACCCTGCCCTACCCCTCCAAAGGGCATTACTCATGCCACTGTTGTGATCATAAAGCTATGGACACTTTTCACCACCGTGCCCACTAGAGACCTGGGCGCTCCTATGCACATTACAGATTGAAAGGAGGGTCCACCCCGCTTTTACCTGGCAGCACTGCACCCACCGAGGCTCTGTCTCCCCCATGGCCACCCAGAGAGTCCACGCAACACTACTTAGAGGTAGCATGGGACCAATTCTAACCAATGAAAGACGGAAGAAAGAGAAAGCCAGGAGAGAGATAAATTGCTTGTCCTTCTTGCCCTTTTCCCCTGGTGCCTGTTCTGAGATGCAGTAGTTTAATACGGCCTCTCTGGAAATGTCTCCTGATAATTCACCCATTTGTGTTTGCTCTCCTTCTTTCTTTATTTCTCCCTCTCTCATATTCCTGGGGTTGCACCAACCAATAAAATGTTATCATTTAAGTGTTTGCCATAGGTTCTGTTTTGGGAAAACCTAGGCTAAACAAGTAATTTTTAGAATTTTCAAATGCTAAATATATCATGCATTATTAGAAACAGAAACAGATTAAATAAAAAGTATTTGTAGTGAAAACATTCACTTATCTGCATTGGCTTATTGTTGGACACTGTGAGAGTAGTTGTAGGGAACTGTCACTGAAAATAGTCAAGAAGAAATGGAGAACAAAGAGTCAAACAACAAAGAAATAGTCTGCTTGTGGAACATCAACAAGAGATAATCAGAAACACATGGCTATGGTGAGTACAAATATATTCCCCAAAGAGCTAAGTTTCCATTAAAGGAGCATTTACCAAGGAAATTTTCTTCCATTGTGTCTGTTTATAATTTAATGTGCTTCCTATGTTATGGAATATTGAAATGTTAGATTCTAGGAAAATAAATAAATCTATTGTGTGACCTACTTCAGTGAAGATAACTCAAATTGTCTTCAGTTTATATATTAAGTTGAAATAATTTTAAGACACAGCACAAGCAACTAATATTGGGAGAAAACCCAGAAAAAATGACAAAAGTGCATCTGCTTAGCAAGGCTGTTTGTAAAGCTTGAACGGAAAAAGGAATTTGGCCAGAGGAGGGAGCGCACTTCCTCACTATGGAAAGTTGGCATATACCATACCATGATCTCAATCTGTGCTGAAAACAGTTTTAGACATTGAACCAGATCCCAGTTACAAAGGTGTAAAGAGCACAGTCACTTACCTTTAAATATTTGCTACTCCAGAACGCTCTGTTACTTGGCTGGTAAAGCATAAAAGGTCCTCTCTTAGAAACAACTACAACCAAAACAACTGGGAAATACTTATTGCTTATTCATGAAAGTATGAAAACTATGATTTGAGAAATACGCTATGAGTATACTTCGGTTTCAGAATGTCTATCCCTGCAGACACTACAGCAGTCACTGAAATAGTTTTTCAAATGTCTTCTAGTGGATTCGTTAAGATTTTTTTTCCTTTTTTAGATTTATAAACTCAGACCCAACTTTTCCTGAAGGGGCAATTAAAGTTGAAATGTACTGCTTTTTAAGCATTGTCTTATTTCCTAGTGTTTCTTTAGGTCTGAATATCTGAAGAGGATCATAGTTTTTCCCAGAGAACAGCACATACATGTACACACATTTTTTGCATAAAATGCTTGGGTTTGGTAGACATCGTATACATCCAAATACTTTCTGGAATCCATGAACCTTAGGTCAAAACCAGCTGTTTTAGGTAACTTTAAAAGTCACCTAAAGATGGATGGATACAAGTAAGGGAAAGCGCTAGTAAAATGAATATTTTGGTTTGCCAATAAAAGTAATAACAAAACCCAAAATTTATAGATAGAAACAATGCATCTTCTATAAAATGCCTAAAAAGCTATATTTTAGGTCTTGAGGAAAATCTAGGTAGCATCTTATCAGTTATCTTTTTAATGAACTTCTTAAGTAGCTGTTTTTGAGAAGGATCTATGTATGTACTCCAAACACATTTCTTTCTTCACTTTAGCTGTCTGAAAGAATATTTAATCTTCAAAAAGGGATTATTATTTGATTCTTTTCTGGAACATATATTACAAGGAGAACTAATTTATATTGGATTTTAACTAACTTCCACATGATACTTTCTGTCTAAAAAAAACTGGCTCTAAACCAAAGGCTGGCCCAAGTTAAGTTGAAAATAGAAGTACATGGCAAATGTTTGGAAATTCAGTTTTCATATCCACTGAGCTTCTGAACTATAATTGTGACTTCAGAATCTTGCTTACAGTTAAAATATTTAAGACTGTGGAAAAAAATCATCATGTGGTAGGCATTTTTTGTGAAGAACATTCTAGAGTGAATGTTTTACACGAGCAGCCAATAAGTTTCAGATGGTTTATAAGTGGCAGGAGGTCCAAAGCTGAAATGGAATTTTCTGTGACAGCCTACAAATAACAGTTAACATATGCCTAAGTTACAGTCAAAAACAGGAGTCACCGTAAAGTCAAGTAGTGAGTAAGAAAGGCCGTAAGTTAATGAATAAAAACCTTTTTGTCCAAAGTTCTTAGCAAAAATTTTAGGTACTTAAAGAGCAAAACCGTCTCAAATATTTTTAAAGAAATTATACTTATTGGAAACAAACAAGAAGTGACTTTCAAAGTCATAGTTTACACCCATCATAAATTTGATGTATTAAAAATGTAGATAAGAGTTAAGTTAATGCTGGTATAAATTAACAAAAAATATAAATTCTTCAATTAATTTAATATTCGATTCACACTTGCCGTTGAAGTTTCATCTCGATATGTTTCTAGTGATATTATCTGCTTTTTTGTCCTATTTCTTGGTCAAGATATTTCTTGACATTGTTGATAAAATAATCACTCAAAAGTCTTCACATTTTCTTTGTTCAAACCTGATATTATCTCGTATTTCAGTAAGTTCTTACAGCTGTGGTTTCACAAATTGTTATCAGAGCTTTGAATTTACTTTTTAGAGCATCTTCCCTGCAGTAGGGACCAGATGGATGTATCATGTCATAATGTGGCCTGCCTAAACATCTTTGAGTGTCATCATACCTATCTTACCTAGCTCAAAAGGTTATGAGTCTGAAATGAAATACATAAAAGAATTTTTAAAACAAGATGGTGTGGTGTTAGCAATAATGGTAGCAGTAAGTGTTGGTATTCAACAAGAAATTCTGCTCCAAACACTAACCATGATCATAGGACCTACCTAAATCTACTCTAGATATAAGATAGTACTTACAGATTCCTAAATTATCTTGCTACACTATTGCTGTAGCATAGAAATCAGTGGTTTTGCTATCATGAATATGTGTGTGTGTTTTTCTGTTTCTTTTCTAGACTGGATTATTTTAAAGGTCTTCATTTCACTAACAGGCATGAACAGAGTGGTATATTAAAATAGAAATTCTGTGTATTTACTTATGTTTTGTGTTTTTCCAACACTTGACAAGTAAGATTAGTAAAGTTAATTAGAATAGTATAAGTATGGAATAATCTGTATTTTTCTAATTCTATAAGCAATAAAATGCCGTGTCAATTCTTTTGAAGAAGCCTATTATACTATTTTTAAGTGCTTTGAAAAATAAATATATTGCTTTAGAAATGTGACAAATAGACTTAACCAATTATAAAATGTAATTTTGCAGTAACTTCAAGTCTGGAATGGTCTGACCACTCATACTGACTGCCTTGAGGAAAGAGACACTCAACGTTTACCAAATTTTATGAATATTTGATTTTTGTTCCTGAACTGTAAATCTTCAGATCTCTCAGAATCCCAGTATTTTAGAAAGAATTCACATCATTCCCATCTCCTCCAAATTGTCTATTTCATTTAGCTGAAATGAAGTGAAATTCTGAGAGAGAAAATAATGACCAGGACTCTCTGGAAGTAAATGTAAGAAGTTTAAGCTGACATGTGTTTCACTGTCATAAGGTCACTGTCTGGACTGTGTATACTCTGGATCCTTTTCAGACCTCATGGAAGTTAATTTTAGTCTTACAGAAGGGACAGAGAGAAGCAGACTGCTATCTTTGCAGAGAATGTCAAGGTTAAGCTTATGACCGCCTTACCTTTCTGACTTCCTGTGCCTTATCGGAGAGAAGTAAGCACTGCTTGTCCAGGGAGAATCCTTCCTTGCATCTGCTTGCCTGGGTTTCGGTGGGTGTGTTTGGGGCAGCCTCAGGGACAGCAGCTGTGAGCTTCCTTGCCCCCCGGAATGTCAGGGTCTGGTAGAAGAGACAGATTGCCACCACCAAGCCCACCAAGAAGGGCCGGGGGCAAAATCGCCGACGACAAAGGAACACTGGACGACAGACCATGACCAGTTCAGCTTCACTTGGCCCCTGTCCACGTTGCCGGAAAAGTCATAGCAGCTATTTTTTGTCAGCATGAAAAACACAAATCTGTCTTCTTTTTCCACAACTTAAATCAAATCAAGATAGCTCCATCCCCACTTAAGAACTTTCCGAAGTATCCTGCCAAAGAATCATCGGTCCCAAAAGTCTGCGGCGGTTAATAAGAGCCCTTCCATGGATGACAGTAAAAAGTGGTTGGCCTCGGTTAAAAAAAGACATCAAAATAATAATAGTTGTAACTAATAACCTGAGCGTACCCCAGGCTGTCAAACTGTTGCTTCCGGTAATGCCTTATTTTTCACAACATCCTTAAGCTCACAGTAAAAGCTTCACAGGAAAAGAGAAACAACACCAAAGTAAATCTGGAGTCTAAAAACAGCACCGGAGAACGCAATAGGTTTATACCATAGTGCCTGTTGCACGGCTGGAGGCGGGCCAGCTTGCCTTAACAGTTCCTCATTTTTCCTCCGGTTTTAAAGCTGTCCTGCTTTCAGCCTTTCATGTTTCTTAACTGCTTCCCTTCATTCCATTTTAAACTGCCACTTTCCTGTAAGCCTTCCCGGCTTTTAACAGAAAAAGGGAATACAGGGTCTGAAAGGACATGGTTACCATCCGCGGGGTTTGCCTTGTATTTGTTTCATTCCGTTTCGAGTTCAAAGTTCTACGTACTTACTCAGTTTTCATCCTTTTAGCCAGAAAAAAAAAATACTTACAATGATCCCCTAATGGATTGCTGATCAAAACCACTCGGAAGGAAACACCCAGTCGTATGACTCCAATTCATCTCCCACCCACGGACACACTCACGCAGGCACACACAGCCACACGCGCGCGCCGGCCGCACTCGCTGAGGCGAGCGGGGAGCAGGGCGCAGGGAGCCGGGCGCGGGGCCCGCGGGCAGCGCAGCCACTGTCCGGCGAGGGGGCGGGGCTAAGGCCCGGGCTCTTAGGTCCTCGGGGGCGGCCGGAGCGCGCCGTTAGCCCAGGATCAGAAAGGGTGGGCTTCCCCAGACTGGAAACAACATTTCTCATTTCCCCTGAAATGTGACTGTCCACCCAGAACTGTAGAATTTTAAATACATTATTTGATATTTGACCCCTTCTGTTTTTTTTTTCTAATACAGCATTGGAAAAACAAATAGCCCTTCGTCAGCTGATGTCAAAGGTCGAGGGGGAGACTAAAGCAGGCTCGGTGAGGGAATTGGGAGGATCTTCACTCGAAGGAATTACGGTCACTCTTATGGGGATAAGAGGGTCACGGGTACTGTCTGGACCTCAGAACATGAAAGTCTGTTGTATGCACTGATTCCACTGGAAATGATCTTTTTCTGCTCAGTACCTAACTCATTATTGCTCCTTTCCTGGACTAGGGCTGAGTCTTTCAAAGGCTAATTGCCTGACACTTCACTCCCGTGATGAGTGGACTATAGCAGACGTTGGTAACTTTCGGTCATCAGAAAGGGGTACGCAGCACGCTTTGTTCAGAAGTCAACTCAATCTAATGCTATACAGACTGCCACAAGGAACCCCTAACAGGGCAAGTCTGCAAACTCCATCCACTTTTGCTGAGTCAGCTCAGGGAATGCCATGGAGAAAGGCAATCTGTCCAGTGCATGTTGCTCACCTCTCCCAGCCTTTGCTTTGCGATCTCTGGACACCCAGGACTGGCTTAGGCTCATAGCAGATATTCTTCCAAGGCTCTTCTAAATAGGTTTTGTGACCTATTTCTGACCCAAACTCGTTCTTGTGGGCTGAGGTTCTCCTGTGAGGCCACACCTCTAAAGTGATCCCATCCCTTAGGCACGCTGTCAGTCACTTGTATTTTGTGAGACGGAGCGCCCCCTACGGGTGCCTCGCTATTATAGATTCAGAGACAAAAGGTCATCTACCTTCTCGCTTGTAAGAAACTACTTTAACACCTTAACAGATTAATTAAAGCTTTAGAGAATAAGTATTCACACTAAAGCTAGATTTATCCCGAACCCTTGCATATATCCCCTCCAGTTTTTTAAAATATATTTTATTTATAGATTCAGAATCCTCAATCCCATGACAAGTGAAGTACTGATAGCAGGGGAAAATGAAGTGGCATTTGACTTTTAGAAGCCAAGAGAGTTTTAAGAGGAAATGGTTAAACAGTAGTGTTGGAAGATATAGTTACAATGTAATTTGAGAGATAATAGGAATTGGTGTTCTCTAAACTGGAATTGTCCTTGTGTTGGTGTGATCTGAGGTGAGACGAAGTTCTTTACCAGGTGAAAAGGAATGAACACACATTTCTATTAAGGCAAAAAGTCTGAAGACTGAGAGTCTGAGGAACCTGAGGGGTTATTTTTATGCATTATTAAATTTAAAACATAAACCAGATGCTAAAATCATATTGTCTTTGATCTGGGAGAAGTGAAAGACAACAGCATAGTTAATTTTATAGCTACACTTCAAGTAACGGGAATCAGAAGATGGCAAATTAGTGTTCTAGAAATGATACTGGCAGGTTGAAAAACCCAGTGGGAAGATGGTAAATAAACGACTATCTGCAGAAGTGAGAAAAGGGATAATTAGAGTGGGAAGTTGGAAAGAAGAGGTGGGAAATAAGATACAAATAGACTAAGGCAGTCCATAGACAACATCTGACGTTAGAGTTAGTCCCATCTGGGTTTAGAATCATAGCACTGCCTCTTATCACATGGTTTTAAACAAGTGATTTGTGAAATGAGGATACTAATTCTTCCTTTGAAGTGTTGTTGGCGTGACTAGATGAAATAATGTATACGATAAGCGTTCTGTGCACATGTGTTGGAAAAATGCATGCTGAATGCATGTCTGTTATGTTTTCAATCCTGTGGCTGAGCTCAGTCTGGTTTGGTGCCAGACATATGAACAGATAATTATCAAATATCGGGCCTCTTGGAGAAGCCCCCAAAGCAAACATGAACACTTAGTATTAGTTCTCTTTCCTTTATTCTTTGAGGTGATGGTGGGGGGCCGATGCTGGTTTGGGAGAATGAGAGCAAGAGAGGGATGAGAGGAAGGTGGAGACTACAAGTGGGAGGTATTTACGCCCTAGTTGTAAGGCAAGGTGAAGTAGGAGCATGTGTTAGAGTCTGGAGGTGTCAGATCAGGGAACAGTGAAGACAGAGAGTAAGTTGTTTCAGTGAGAGGAGTAGGAGGGTAACACGCAGTAGAATTATATGAAACTGTGGATTCTGGCAGTTTTTCAGACTGAATGTTTTTGTGCATATAATTTCATAAAGTACCTCTTTCCCTAAATCACTTCAGTGTTCAAGGGCCTGTATTTAAGTGGCATCAACCTGGGACAATAGAGTGGCAGGTCTTTTAGAATTCTATAGTTCAAGGTTGGACAAAAAACAACAATCTTCCTCTTCAAACCTCTCTAACACAAAACATACTCTTCCATCACACTTATGTTCCCTTTCGGTTTTGATATGAAGTGGGGGTGAAAGGAGAGGTTGAATTTAATAACTGTTGTTTGAAAAGGTATTTTTAAAAATTATTTTATTTTTTAAACTAGAGAAATAAAGCTATCTCTAATAGAGAAGATTCCAGTATCCTATCAGGAATTTTGGGAAAGTATTTCTCTCTTTGAGTGTCACTTTCCTCATAAAATAGGGGCTTCAGTGATCACTAGATAATCTCACAGGTCACCTGAGGCTCCGAAGTTACGCTTGTAGGGATGCATTTTTGACATGGATTTCCTCTCTGTTGCAACCTGGTAAGAAGAGGAAGTCTTCAGATTCTGGGCCCACTTGGTTTCCTGCAGGGGAAAGCCTTTTTCTTTCAAGAAAGCTCCTGGGGCTTCCCTGGTGGCGCAGTGGTTGAGAATCTGCCTGTTAATGCAGGGGACACGGGTTCGAGTCCTAGCCTGGGAGGATCCCACATGCCGTGGAGCAACTAGGCCCGTGAGCCACAACTACTGAGCCTGCGCGTCTGGAGCCTGTGCTCCGCAACAAGAGAGGCCGCGATAGCAAGAGGCCCGCGCACCGCGATGAAGAGTGGCCCCCGCTTGCCACAACTAGAGAAAGCCCTCGCACAGAAACGAAGATGCAACACAGCAAAAATAAATAAATTAATTAATAAACTCCTACCCCCAACATCTTCTTAAAAAAAAAAAAAAGAAGAAAAAACAAGAAAGCTCCTGACCACAGTGATGTAAAATTCAGTTGTAGATACTAGTGGTGATGTCATGAGTTAAGTCCTGGGGTCGCTGTCAGTCACACCTGGGCACTCACCTTCCAGTACCTCTTCCCTAGAGAGTCTGAATGACCTCTTCCCAGCTCCTACCACCTCTCTTCAAATAATGACTATGGAAATTTCCCCATAAGCTCTGAACATACAGGAAACTTCTAAATCACAAATTACATATTGAATCTTTACTATGCAAAAACATCATCCCAGGCAATGTGGAAAACTGAAGACATATAACAAATACCATAAATGACTAAAATATGATAAACACAATGATGAACTGCTCAGGATAGGATAACTTCTGTAACAAATAACTTTGAAATCTCAGAGACTTGATACAATAAAATCTCGTTTTGCATTCATATAATTTTCCAGTGTTTATCAGTTTCCATTAAGACATTTAGTAACCAAGGTCCTTCCACCTGGTGACTTTCCATACTCTAGAATCTTGGACACCGAGATCCTCTGAATCCTACTAGCAGATGAGAAATGAGAAAGGCAAGGAGAATTATGTGAGAGGTCTTTTGGGACTAAGCTTCAAATTGGCATATATCCTGCAGTCCGTGTTCTACTGGTCAGAGCCCAATCATATGGACCCACCTAACTGAAACTGAGATGGAAAATGAGGTTTAGCTACATGCCCAAGAGGAAAAGGAAAAGAGGCTGATAAACATAGCATTCCCAACCACAACTAAGATGGAGGTAAGTCAAGTGCCACGGAGAATTGTAATTGGGAGTTCACATCTTTTGAGAAGTGATAAGGAAATCTTCAGGAAAGTGGCAGTTTCTCAACTGGGCCCTGAAAAGTCACAAATATTTCAACTGCTGCAGGTTTTATGTCTTAGTGGAAGATGACTAAGGATAGAACTGGAGAGTTCGGTCCTGATCAAGGATGGCTCTAATTCCTAAGTTAAAGGGTTTATTTAGCCATCTGTAGACAGGAATCCAAAAAGTTTCTTCCCCACATGATTTATTAATGAAGATATTATAAGTCAGACTAGGAAGGCCATTATCTTCATTTATCTGAGAATACTGTTATATTACCACTATCTTTAGTTGTAAACTCACAAAGCAAAAACTCTTTTGTTTTTTGGGTAGAATAAGAACAACCACATGGGTCAAGTTTATGTGGTTACTCTCAATGGTGCAAAATATATGCAAGATTGAATAGAAAAGTCTGTGTGCAAGGTCAGATTCTTGCCTCAGGGCCCACACTGTCCTTGTGGAGGAAAATGCTGCACTAGTGTAAGGTACGTGCATATACACCTGATCATGTGTTATCCCACAAAGCCATGCAAACACAGAGCACTAATTTATATCAGGGTTAGCATCATGCGTCCTTTCACTTGTCTTTAGAACTTTACACCTCCCACTCATTATAATGAAAAACCAAAAGCTCCGTCTACAGTTAGGCTCATGTCTTGTTCTTGATATGCTGGAGGAGTATGAAGAGAAATCCGAAAACAGTTTTGCAAGTTTTCTGCAATTTCTAATGCAATC